TAAAAGGAGAGAGGAAGCAGGGACAAAAAACATTTGAAGAAATAGTGGTCAAAAATTTTCCAAATTTTTAAGATTTAAAATCTTTAAATATGCAAATGAAAAAAGTGTAACAACCCCAAGCACAATAAATTTGAAGAAAGTTATACCAGGCACATCATAATCAAATCTCCCAAAAACGATGATAATGAGAAACATCTTAGAAGCAGAATGAGGGGGAAAAATGAGACATATTTGTGCAGAGGAACAAATCTAAGAATGACAGAAAATGTATTAGAAACGATGTAGGCAAATGGTAGTAGAGCAAGATCTTGAAAATATTGGAGAAATGAGAAAAACTGGGACAAAGAGAAAACAAATAACAAGATGGTCGACTTAACCTAATCATATAAATGATAACCTTAAATGTAAATAGTTTAAATGCCCCAATGAAAAGACAGAAATTTTCAGATTGTCTAAAACAGCAAGTCTCAACTGTAAGTGCTACCTATAAAATATGCATTCAAAATATAAAGACACAAATAGTTCAAAAGTTAAAGTATGGAAAATGATATACCATGCTAACACCAGTAAAAAGAAAGCTGCTGTGGCTATGTTAATTTCAGACAAAATAGATTTCAGAACAAAGAATATTGCCAGAATAAAGAGTGATTTTATAGTGATAACATCTCATAGCAAAGCTTTAGAATACATAAAACAAAAATGATTGAATTGCAAGGGAGAAATTAACAAATCTACAACTTTAGTAGATATAAATACCCCTCTCTCAATAATTGATACAAGTAGACAAAAAATCAGCAAAAAGACAGTAGACAACCAACATGTCATGGTTTACATGAAATGCTCTACTAAACAACAGCAGAATATGTATTCTTTTCAAGTGTACCTAGACCATTTATCAGAATGATTAATGTGCTGGCTATAAAACAAGTCTCAGTAAATATAAAAGGATTCATGTCTTACAAAATATGTTATTTGACCACAATGGAATTTAATTAGAAATCAATAGCAAGAAGATATCTGGAAAATCACTGGAACTGAAAAATATGTAAAACACTTTGAAAATGAATAACACTTTTCAATTATCCAAGGATCAATAAGAAAATAAAAATTAGAAAGTATTTTGAACTGAATAAAAATAAAAATACAATATATTAACATTTTGTGGGATGCCACTAAGCTGTACTTAGAGGAAAATTTATAACACTAAATACCTGTAGTAGCAGAAAAGAAGAAGGTATCAAATCAATGACCTGAAATTTCACCTTAAGAAATTAGGGGAGGGGAAAAAAAGCAAATAAAGCCAGAAATATACAGAAGAGAGGGAACATAGACCAAAATGAAAATCAATCAGATAAAAAACAAAAAATAGGGGAAACCAACATAATCAAACATACGTTCTTTGAGGAGCTCAATAAAACTAAATCTCTAGTGATACTGATCAGAAAAAAGAGAAGATATAGATGACCATATGAGAAATGAGAAACGTGATACCAATAAAGATTCTACGGTTATTAAAAGGTTAATAAAGGAATATTATAAATGACATTATGCCAAAAAATTTGACAACTTAGATAAAATGGACAAATTTCTTGAAAGACACGAACTACCCAAGCTTATTCAAGAGGAAATAATTAGGATAGCCTAATATCTATTTAAAAATAATTTACAGTTTTAAAACTTTACCACAAAGAAATTCCAGGCCCAGATGGCTTCACTATTAAGTTCTATAAGACATTTATGAAAAAGAAAAAAAATTACTTCTACACAATCTCTTATAGAAAAGGATAAAGGAGAGACTATATCCCATCTCATTCCATGAAGAGTAGAATTATCCTGACACCAAAACAGACAAGGACATTATAGGAAAAGAAAACTACAGACCAATAATCTTTAAAAACATTGATGCAAAAATTTGAAACAATATTTTAACAAATAGAATTCAACAGTATATTAAAAAATAAACATTATGTCCAAGTGTTTATTTTAATAGTACAGGGATGATTTAACATTAAAAAATGAAAAACCATATGATGATCTCAATAGATGCATAAAAAGTATCTGATATAATCCAACACCATAGATAAACACCAACTTTTTATTTGTTGACCTTTATTAGTCTCAATTTCACTTATTTTTCTCTGATCTTTATTATTTCTTTTCTTCTACTAATTTGCAGTTTGTTTTTTTCTTGCTTTCCAAGTTCTTCTCTGATCTTTATTATTTATTTTCTTCTAATTTTCAGTTTGATTTTTCTTGCTTTCCTAGTTCCTTGAGATGCCTTGTTAGGTTGTTTACTTGAAGCTTTTTGAAGCTTTTTTACTCTTTTGATATAGGTGTTTATTGCTATAAACTTCCCTTTTAGTACTGATTTTATTGTACCCCATAGATTTTGGTATGTTGTGTTTCCATTTCCATTTGTTTCAAGACATTTTTAAGTTTTCTTCTCAATTTCCTCACTGATCCATTGGTTGCTCAGAAGTGTGTTACTTAATTTCCATGTGTTTGTGTATTTTCCCAGGTTCCTCTTGTTATTGATTTCTGGTTTTATTCCATTGTGATCACAAAAATACTTGATAGAATTTTTACTTTTTTGATATTTGTTCTGTGGCTTAAGAGAGTCTATTCAGGAGAATCCTCCATGTGCTGATGAAAAGAATGTGTATTCTGCAGCAATTGGGTGAAATGTTCTGCAAATGTCAGGCCTAGTTGGTCTAGTGTACAATTTAACTCTGCTGTTTCTTTGTGATTTTTTTGGTCTGGTTCATCTGTCCATTTCTGAGAATAGGATGTTAACGTGCCCTACTACTTATTGCAGTCTATATCTCTGTTTAAATCTATCCATGCTTGCTTTATATACTTGTGAGCTTTGATGTTGGGTGCACAGAAATTATAATTATTATGTCTTCTTGCTGAATTGACCCCTTTATCATTATACAGTGACCTTCTTTGTCTCTTTTTATAGTCATTGATTTGTAGTCTATTTTATCTGATATAAGCACAGCTATTCCTACTCCTTTTTGGTTTTCAGTTGAATGGACTATGCTTTTCCATCCCTTCACTTTCAGTCTATATGTGTCTTTGTAGATGAAGTGGGTTTCTTGTAGGCAGCACATAGCTGGATTTTGTTTCTTTATTCCTTAAGCCACTCTATGCCTTTTAATTTGAAAATTGAGTCCATTTTACATTCAGTATTAAGAACTTATTCTTTTTTTTTTTTTTTTTTGGTTGTTTTGTAACTCGTCTCTTCCTTTTGTCCTTTGTTACTATATTCTTTTGTGGTTAAGTAACTTTCTTTGGTAGTGTTTTAATTCATTGCTTTTTACTTTTTGTGAATCTATTATAGGTTTTGTATTGTGGTTACATGAGGCTTATGAAAAACATCTTACAGCTATAACAAGTTATTTTAAAGAGATGAATACTTAAATCACAACGGAAAGAATAGAAAAAATAGAAACAAAGGAAAAAAACAAAACAGAAAAACACCTCTAGACTTGAACTTCATTCTTCCACATTTTGACTGTTGGTTTTCTCAATTTACATATTTTTATACTGCCTATCTCTTAGCAGATTACTATAGCTATTACTGTTTTTGATAGAATTGTCTTTTGGGATTCATGCTAATGAGTGGATTGCACACCACCATTAAAATCATGGAGTTTTCCATGTACTTAATTTTACCAGAAGTTTTGTACCTTCAAATGTTTTCTTTTTGTACATTAGTGTTTTTTTCTTTCAGATTGAATAACTCCCTTTAGCATTTCTTATAAGATAGGTTCGGTGGTGGTGGATTCTCTTAGCTTTTCTTTGGGAAGGATTTTATCTCTTCATATTTGGAAAATAGCTTGGCTGGATACAGTATTCTTGGATAGCAGGGTTTTAACACATTGAAAACATTTTCTCATTCCCTCCTGACCTACATGGTTTCCACTGAGAAGTCTGTTGTTAGACAAATTCTTTTTTCCTGCAGCTTTTAGGCTCTTCTCTTTGTCCTTGACCTCTGGAGAGCTTAATGATTATATGAATATTTTTCACTTTTCTGTGGCCTCAGGAATTGTCTCATCCTCATATTTGGGTTCTGAGATACTGCTGATGATAATGATAATCTTGGCACTGTATATTTGTTTTTGTTTTCTGGGGTGGCTAGATAGGGATTGAAGAGAGCTTGCTTCCACACTACCATTTTTAATATCATTGAATTTTAACAGAATCTTTAAACATTGTATGCTGTTCCAAATTGCTCATCATTTTAACATAGTAGGTACTGAATGAAGGATCTGATGAGGTGTTTTTAGACAGTTGAGCAAATGTTTAGGCATTCTCTACTGTTAAATTGTAATAGGGCATGAGTGATTGATTTTAGGAAACATGGCATAAAGGGAGAGAAAATTTCCTTCATATTGACCCTCAACTCTGTTTTCTTTTAGCCTTCTAATGACTTTTATTAACATGGACTTATTACTAACATTTCAAATTCAATATGTTGTTCATGTAATAAGTAAAGCAGGGTTATATTAACATAAATGAATAGATCTTAACTCTTTTATTTTAGTCCTAATATTAACTTTCGTCCTGATCAGTTTTTTTTTTTGGTAGAAACTAATGGTCATAAAAATGGATCAATGAGGTAAACATTTATCTTTCTCCTTCTGTCTTGAACTCAAGAGCTACTAGAATAAAATATATGTATATTAGATCCATCTAAATAATTCACCAACAATAAAAAAGTATCTTGAACAACTGAGTTGACCCAATTAGTAAAGATTATGTGGCACTGTTTATTCTGGCATCTTTGAATAATTCACATTTCTTGTTTGGTTCTTTAGACCATTATATCAATTCATTTTAATTGATCAGAAGATGAAACAGTTATATTTCAATGAACTGATTAGTGTTTTAGATAAGATAATGCATATAACAAAGATTATAACTTTATTTTCTACTGATTTATTGGTCCTACCCCAACAGAAGATATTAAGTAGTTCAAATTATAAAATATGTACCTGGAGGTAAATTGGCCAACTTCTTCAAGAATCATAGAAAAGTATTTGAAAGTTTTCTCAGTGTAGCTTGAGTGTGCTATACGTTTTTTTGAATCACCAAACAAAGAAAGAAAATAATCTTCTCCATCCCCAATTATGGATGATTCATCATGTTTCTTTGGAACAATGAAGGCATCTTTCAAACAAACCAAAGAAGGAAACAACCAGGAGAGAAGTAAGTAAAATGACATTAAAAGGATCCAAAGCCATTATCCTTATTCTCTGATTCTACAAAATTATATGTTTATATTTTAATATCACTATCAAACTTAATGAGGTTAGAAGCTTTAAACAAAAGTCTTTAAAATAATCAGTAAGTGAATAGTTACAGTGGCATCTTCAATTCCTAGAGATTATTTCAGTTATCTTAAATAATAAATTCTATCATTAGCTTAATGACTATTTAACTGATTATTTAGTTGTGCTAGAAGCATCATCAATTTGGGAATAGGGAAAACATTTGAGTTTTTCAGACTTGGATATGTTACGTATAAATATAGCCTTATTCTACTTTATGTTTGCTAACTTCCCAAATGGCTACCCATAAATTAAAGCCTCATATGAATCCTTTCCTACAATGGTTAGTACTTTTGCCAGGTAAATACTTAAACTACTATTTAATTAAGATACTTTATTAGAAAGATAAAGTGATGTGCAATCAGATTGTAGTATCTTATTAGAAGTTTGCTCTTTTAAATCCTTACTACTTTGATTCAAATACAAAATAGGTTTCATAATTTTGAACAGAAAGAGCCATTCTGGACAAATCTAACAATATATTTACAAAGAAAGAGTTACACTGCAAAGATGCATCATGATGAAGTGGAAAGAACAACGTGTCTTACATTTAGACAGACTTGCAATTTTATTTCAGTACTGCCATTTACTAAGCCAAGTGATATAAATTTTCCAAGTTTCCACTTTCCTGAACATAAAATGAAGATACCACTACCTTATGTAAAAAGATAAGAGAGTTGGAGATCATGCAGATAAGTGTCTAGATAATGTTTAACATTTATCTGATAATAAATGAAAGCTATTATAACAGTACAAGAGTTTTGGTTAATGTGACTCTGTCCAAGATCCTCAAAGGATTAAGACAATCTAGAGTTTGAATCTTATATCTTTAGCAAAACCAAAACAAGGTGAAAAATACAAAGGAATAAAATAATAATATTTAAAGAAAATTCTTCTAAATATTTTGTTGGAATTAAATCAGTTCATTCTCAGTCAAGTACTTCCTTAATCCTTAAATTCCTTTGGGGAAGGATAATATATGGCATATTTCCTAACGGCTCCTCTTGAGAGATAAAACTCTTGGTATTCCAAAAGGAAAGAAGACACATTAATTTCGGTCCCTGTTGTTATTTTGTCTAGAACAAAAGATGGCAATGAACCAAGTGCAACAAATCTCAGTGAAACTAGGCATCTATCTACAGAAGCAGAATCTACAGTAATGGAAGACAGTAGGAAAAGACTACATCCCAATTCAGCTCCCATCTTGTAAGGGGAAGCCACTATATTTCATTATTTTTGCCCTATTACAAGAAGCAAAAGTTTAACCCAAATATAGAACATATGCCATGATGATATAATGACAAATGATAGAAAATCTTTTCTTCCCAGGTCTAAAATTTGTATTCGTGTTTTCAGCATATGGGTTTTGGTCATCTTAAAGGTCAGTGTAAACTTAGGAGTTCTTCTTGGGAAATTTTATACTCTTCAAACAAAAAATGAAACATAGGGAATATGACCATAATGGCAGGAGAACAAAACACTAACCCATGTCAAAAAATTTTTTAAATATGAGAAACAAAATGAAATATATTAAAAACAAAATGAATTATAGACAAAGGGCAGCCAGGCTATAAATGGGCACATAATCGTAGAGGATAATGGAGGTATCAGATAGTCACCAGACTATTTGTGCTATTAGTTTTGAAACTTAGTTGATTGGCAATTGAAACACAGACCCCAAATCTAGTCTATTTTAAAAGAAGGTGATTACAGGTACATTCAGATGCACAACTAATGTTTATTGAGTACCGATTATGTGCTAGGTAGTTTTCATAAATATTTAATCCTTAGGATAGCTCTGTGACATTTCTATTTTAATCCCTATTTTGCAGTTGTGGGGGAAATGAGATGCAGAAATGTTAAGTACTCTACATAAAGCCTAACACTGTAGAAAAACAGTAGGTCCTGTGTTTCAAAGGATGAGAGTGTTGTCAGTAAACCATGAAAACATACCCTCAAAGTTCCCTAAACATGGGGAGAAACAAACACCCTGGAGTGGGGGTATTGCTGAGTACATTGTTGACAATAGTCAAAACTTTACTTTTTATTATTTTAGTGCTGTTTTCATTTTCCTTTTTTTCAAATTCTCTTTACTGTTTTCCCATTTTATCTACATTATTTTATAGCTACTTTATATTTTTTCTTTCTCTCATCTGTCTTTCCGTTCCTTACTTAAGCCATATATCAACTAAAGACACAAAATACACAAGATGTGGTTTAATCCTGGTAGTGTTCAGAGGAAGGACAGTTAACACTATAAATTGGAATTTTGAATTCTCTAGCAATTCTGATGTATGTTAGTCAACTCATGAACCATCATGATAACTCAAGATATCTTAATTATAAGGATGATATATTTGGCACATACAGTACATGTATGTGGCCTGAATTTAAGACTCCAGTTCTAGGATCAGTGATGACCATAGTTAAGTTACTTTTCATAGGATGTTAAGAAGTTAGCATTTTGGGGTTCTAATAATAAAACATCATTCTGGCTAAGAGTCACATAAACAATCTATTGAAATATATGCTTTAAAAGTACTCTAAAAATATGAGGTCCATATTTTGCTTACCCGAGCTGTCTTCCTCTTGGGAACCATTACCTCCAGTAGCTTTAGAAGCCAATTGTCCAGTTGTTGATATAGTTATTCCACTAATCCGAGGACTAGATAGATTGTAGCCAAGAGTTATTCCACTGGATAATGAAGATGACAATGACAGTGTTGTGGCAACTGAACCCGTTATCTTTCGTTTTTGAAAATGTACTGAAGAATGTACTGGGGGATCTCCAAGTTTGTCTTCTCTTCTGTGTATAAAAATTATAATAAATAAAATAAATAAATTGGAAAGTCAAAGTGGCTGTGAATAAAAGAAGCATGGGCTATCATTATTACCCAGAATTCTGCTTTTCAAAGGTAGTATGCATCCAACACAAGCACAATAACATCTTGTATTTCTAGTGTTAACAACTGAAATAAAACACTTTATTATCAATTTTTTTATATGCTTTTAAAATATTTGAAAATTAATAAATTCCTATTATAAAAGGTTCTGAAAACGTGTAACTAGAAAAAAGATAATAATAATCACTACAATGCCACCACCAAGACATTTTACTATCTCCTTCCGGGCTTTTAAATGTATGTTTTACTCTAAGTTGGGACTTTATAAGCCATTTATACCTCCACTTTGATCACTTATCATATTTCCCCTTTCCATTATCATAAGATCATGATTATAATTCTGGTTTAATATATTCTTGTTTCCTATATACCCTTTTCCTTTAATTCCTGTTGCTGCTTAACCAACTTTTCTATTTAATTAAGATTGTTTAGTTAATGTCTGCCTTCAAATAAACTCTGCATGTTTGTGTATGTATGTGTATTGGTGGGAATGACAGAAAAGAGGGAGAATATCATTTTCATATACTACTTTTATAAGTGACTCTTACTATGAACAAAGATTTTCCTTTCTTTTTTATAACTATGAAAGCATTTGTTAACTAGTGCACAAGGTCCATAAGCTACAGTAGTATTATTTTACAAGTTAAACAACACTTTCATAACATGAATCATGAAAAGACTTAGGACATTTCATTTTATGAGTCACATTGAGGCTCTTCCCGGTGATCTCAAAGTAATTTTGGTGGGTGCATGTGTGCACGTGTGTTCAGTGCTTAAATTAAATTGTGAACAAAGTCCTCAAGTCCAAACCCTTTATTTCTTTGAAAAACGGGACAAATGGCCAGTTCAACCATCTCCTTTATGGGGTCCACATATCTATCCACTATAAGTCAGGAACTAATTATTTTACCTCCATGAATGATCTCTGTTTTGATCTATTTCTCAGAGCTTTTATAAAGTTATTTTAGCTAGTTTCTTTTAGGTTCTTATAGGAGAATGAGGGCCTGGAGTTTCCTACTTGCTGCTGTCACCCTCAATATCTCTTTGTTTACCAAGAGGTATTCACAATCATTTTGTTCTACAATTTGATATTTCCTTTATCAGAAATCTTATACCTGGAGTTTTGTATTCAAAACTAGACTGCTCTATATGTGCCTTTCAGAAGACACAGATGTCTCAGGCAAATTTTTAAAATAATTAAATGGCATTGGCTTTGAAAATGTCATGACTACTGGCCCAGTGCTTAATAAGCATGTACACTTAACATCCTGCTGACACTCCAAGCATTCCTATTTTCCAGAAAAGCTCTTACCCATAAAGATACGCTATTGAGTATGACCGTAGAGGTAGTGGGAAGGAGACTTTAGAGGTAAATTGTCAGATTACAGATATTTCATCTTTGTTCAACATGAGGCAGGATTGTATGACAGGACTTCTCCCTGACATTGACTATAACAGCAGAGAAGTACTTTTTTCTTTCAACATTCCTTACATCTGGGTTTCATAACTGACTGGCTATTCTTTTTGGCATGTTCATCTTATAAGCTTTCAATTTTTTCCTCTAGTAAACAATAGCATTTTAAAATAAATTTAATTCCACAAAAGATTCCCAATAAGCCTTAATAAAATCTTTGCAATCAGAGAAACCTGTCCTGGAGATATAGGGTGTTCTTATTTTGGCAGGTGAATAAGAAGTTTCTTTTCTTTTATTTTTTTTGTGAGATGGTCTTGCTTTGTCATCCTGGCTGACTGCAACCACCAGCTCCTGGGTTCAAGTGATCCTCTTGACTCAGCCTCCCAAGTAGCTGAGACTACAGGCACATGATGCCATGCCTGCTAATTTTGAAAAAAATTTTGTAGACATGTGGTGTTGCTATGTTGCCCAGGCTGGTCTCTAAGGCCTGGCACCAAGTGATTCTTTTGCCTTGGCCTCCCAAACTGCTAGAATTACAGGCATGAGCCACTGTGCCTGGTTGAATAAGAAATTTCTAATGGCTGCACATGTCCCTGGAAGAGCTGAGACATTTCAGGAATGAACTCATGTGATACAGCCCATCATCTGAACCTTCCACTTGTCAACCTATTAGACTCCTTTTGGAAGATGAGTGATTTTTCTCAGTGCTTAGTTAATTTTCCCTTAAGCAAAAGTAATTTTCGAAGCCCTTTTTGGTATTTCAGTTTCTCTGTAATTGGTTAACATTAAACCAGGGGCACTTACAAAGGCTCAGTTTTAGCATTTCAATGTTACTTCAGGAGATGCTGCGCTGATAATATTGACAATGATCATTTCTCAGAGGACCCCTAAGAACAAATATTTAAAAATGGACTTGGATTGAACAATAAACATAGGACTTCTAGGTCCAAAGTAACAATAGCTTTAAATTCTGTATACTCAATAATAAGTCAATTTTAAAGAAAACATTGGAAAACCAATGGTAATGCTTTAGTTGATGAAAGATTTATATTAAATGTAAAAATAGGGATTATAATTTTATATAACATTCTCACAGACATTTACAAAACCAACGTTCTGGTAATTTCTTTTTGTCCTCAGGTCTGTAAAATAGTTCTAGAAAGGAACTATTTCTGTAAATTGCCTTAACATATTAAACGGGAACTTTGGAATCTCAGCTAGGTCTTACATGATAGAGATCTGTCCAGGTGGATTTTTATACTTCTCAAGGGCTAGAACCTTATAAAACAGTAGTTGTGGAAGTCGTTGTATGCTACAGTTCATTATTTCTAGAAAATTTGTGGGATCTATTCTAGTTCTGCTTCATAAGAGTAATAAAACAAAAGAGGTCAAGCATACCATCATTCCTTCTCTATAACTCAGCTCTGCTCTCGTCTCATCTATGCATACTCACTGCTCTTGTTTCTCCATCTTATCTTCCTGCTTGTCGACTTTATTCTGCATTGCCTCTGGAGCTTCCTGAATGTCTTGTGTATCTTTCATCTTGGCTAGAAGAGAAGTCTCTTTTCTTTCCTAGGAAAGCAGATCATGACATCAGACAGTGAATATCACTAAGGTTCAAGGCAGATTTTTCTTTTGAAAGTGACCTTACCTGTTAATCCAACTACCTTCAAGCATCAGCCAGGTTTAATAATTTCTTTACCAAACTGGTACCAGAACCAGAATTCTCATGCGAATGTGTAAGTATCAACATAGCCAATCCTGATCTTGACTAAGGGTATCAGACAAACTATGGTGAAGGTGGTTAGCATTCACTGGAAGCAGTTTGAGAGACAGGGCAGTGACTTGGCAAAGAGAACTTTATGACTACAATTTTTGTATCTGGCCAACACTGCCTCTTAGAACTATGAGGTAATGTCTCCATGGTAACCAAGTTCCAGTTTCTGAACAATTACTATGTTGATGCTGCACCTTTTTTGCAGTTTGCAGACATTAAACAATGTAACTTGCTCTTAGGAGAGCCCTATCTTCCACCAGACTTTGCCACCAAAATTTTTGATATCTTGTTTTATGTAAGAGTCAGGCCAGGATGTAAATACTGGAGAAATTAATCACAACTCTTTTTTTTTGTTTGTCTTTCTCTCTCTCGACAAATACTTTGAACACATGGAACCAGCTAGGCATCAAGAATAGAAACCATAAAACTTCAATGCAAAAAGTCTGTTGGTAGAAATAGTAAAATCAAAGCCAGAACACCTAAATTCTTCTCCTAGTTATGCCAGCAGTGTGATTTAGAAGAAACCACTTAATTCAGTTTCTGCTCTGTGTAAAACACCCGCACTTAATATTTCATGATAATGATACTATGACAATAAAATTAGCAAATATGAAAGTCCGTGATCCAGAACAGTAAGATATATAAATGGTGATTACTAGATGAGTGAGTTTATTAAAAATATTTGATAAGATTCTACTATTTATTAAAAACTGGCTAGGTACCATAAATAAACATTATCTACTTTCAAAAATAACACTAAAATATCTTCAAATACAGATTTGAAAATAATTTTTAGAGACAATAAAGGAACTGTTTTAAAAAGCCAAAAGAAAAAGGCAAGATGTATATCATATAATAAGGTAAGTTAATGGAAAGTAATCAGTTGACTGTATTTTCTTCATCTCAGAGATGTAGCACAATTCTTTATGAACATTATGGGCCAATTATTTAAATATAGCATCAGAAGGTTTATAAATTTTTACCTATGCTTAACAAAGAATTAAAAATGGGCTTGTCATTTCCTGTCACTCTCCCAGTCTCCCTACTTGTACCAGTGTGGATGGTTTCCTAGCTGTTAAAAATTTCTCTACTTGAACTGCATATATTAGCATGAAGTCATTATGACCTCATTGGTTTTATCAGAGATACTGCTCATAATTTCCAACATATTTTAGAGAAATAAAATTCTGTCAGCTGAGAAGAACGTGAAGGCTTTAAATTTGCAAGTGTTTCAATATTCATTCCCCATGCAAGATATTTTTCTTATTTCCTTTTCTAAAATTACTGCATACATGCAATGAAAACCAATTTCGTGTTTTATTTTTGCTTAAACTAATTTAGTGGTTTTCAACAGAGGACAAAGTGAACCATAGAGAACATTTTGTAAACATAAGACGATGTTGATAGTAGTCATAAAGATTTGGGTCAGGTATTAGTGGCATTGGTAGACAGGACCCAGAGATGCTAGACTTTCCATGATGTGGCAGATAATCCTACTTAGTAAATAATGTTCCCATGTAACATATGCCTTTCTATACATTCGTGCAGGTGAAAAATAGATTACAATTATCTGGCTGGGTACAGTGGCTCCTGCCTGTGATCCCAGCACTTTGGTGGGCCAAAGGAAGTGAATCACTTGAGATCAGGAGCTCAAGACTGGCCTGGCCAACACAGTGAAACCCCATTTCTACTAAAAAAATACAAAAATTAGCTGGGTATGTTGGCAGGTGCCTGTAAACCCAGCTACTCTGGAGACTGAGCAGGAGAATCACTTCCAGGGAGGCAGAATTGCAGTAAGTTGAGATCATACCACTGCACTCCAGCCTGGGTGGTGACAGAGTCAGACTCTATCACCAAAAAAAAAAAAAAAAAAAAAAGATTAAAATTATCTGAGCTTAAAGCATAGCTCTATAGTTCATATAAATAAAAATATTTTTGCAGTTTTAATATATACCAGAGTCTTTAGGATATAACTATTTATTGTTTAAATTGAGGTAAGATTATATATTGATTTTTTCAGACATTTCCAAGAATTGTTTATCAGTTTGAAAAAAATTACATCATCAGTAACTAAACCACTTGGTAGTACTCATGTGGTTGACATAACTTATTGGACAGAGAGTGAGAGTAGCAATAATACCATTAACAGCAACAAAATCAACCTGAATCTGATGAATCCTCTACATGTAATACAGAGAACAGAAGAGCATGTTAGCTAATCAATTAAGAGATTTAAAAGACACCTTTTGTAATTTGTGGATATAACATATCCTAATTCAAGCAAACTGTAAAATTTATGACATTAGAAACTTAAGCACACGGTATTTAATGATATTAAGAAATAACTGGTAAATATTTTAGGTGTGATGTGGTATCATGATTATGTTTTTTGAAAAGGGTTCTTATCTTTTAGTGATACTACGTACTAAAACATTTATAGATAAAATGATATGTTGTCCTCTGTTTCTAATTAATACAGAGGGTAGGAAGCAGGCAAGAATGTAGATGAAAAAGTTGGGCCATGACTTGTAATTATTGAAGCTGAAAAATAGCTATAGGGAGATTCATAGTTATATGATTATTTTTTGCTGTAAATATCTGAATTTCTCCACAGCAAGAAGATTAAAATAGAAGGCTCAGTTTGGGATGCACAGACTCAGATGTTAATGGTGTCATCAACATGGCTCTTTCTGCTCAGGAAGGAAAGGGTCGGCAAGAGCTGAAACGGAGAAGCAGAAACACTGCATGAAGGGCAATATTCTTTATTTTTTTGAGATGGAATGTCGCTCTGTCATCCAGGCTGGAGTGCAATGGCACAATCTTGGCTCACTGCAACCTCTGCCTCCCAGGTTCAAGTGATTCTACTGCCTCAGACTCCCAAGCCTCCTGGCCTGCCTCGGCTTCCTAAAGTGTTGGGATTCAGGTGTGAGCCACTGTGCCCAGCCGGTGCAATAATCTTTACCCAGATCTTTCACCACAGCTCTAGAAGGTGGGAATTTCCTCATTTTTCACATGAAGAAGTGGAAGTTCCGAGAGATGAAATTGTTCTTTCAGGGTTATATAGCCAGTAAATGGCAGAGCCAGGATTTAGTCTCGTCCATCTGTTAGAGAGAGCTCCTCACTATACTCGCTGTTTATCTTCCTTTTTCTGTGGTATTTGCCTGAATGCTTGTCCATTCCTGAAAGAGCTTTATCCTGCTCTTTCTGCTCTGGTCTCAAATCACCTTCTTCCTTGTCTTTTTGGCTCTCTGTCAATTCTCTTTGGCTTTACCTCACATTGGGAAATACCAGAATTTTGTTGGGGAATTGAAGCCCTCTAAGAGTAGACATGGGTCAAAATAAGGTAATGAAAACTGAGTTTCAGGTTGTGAGATTTCTACTTTAAGAAAAAAATGAAAAGTGGCAAAATTCCATATTCTTAAATTTGTAAAACAGACAAAATATTACATATACGCAGTTTTTGGAGTTGAAGAACACAAAGAACTGGCTGTATATATTTTAGTTCTCTGCCTCCACATGTGGAGAAGATTTGCACAGCGAGATTTTATTAAATTGGTAAGACAAATAAAATGTCTTGCGTGAATGAAGGCAACATATATGAAGAGAATTTTCTTCCCCTCTCAAGCCATGGGTAATAAGCAGTTGAGTAATATTCAGTTTGGGATTACAATTTTAAACACTATGTCATGTTCCATTGTCTAAGAGTCAAAGAGTTTGGAATACAATTGTAGAAATTCAATTTCATATTTACACCCACGTAAAAACAGTATAAATTCTTATTATAAAGCATTTTCAAGTCTAAAAATGTACTCAGTCAATTCATTTCTTTCACATAGATCCACATGTAAATGATAGCCTCAGACACAGGTGCTATTATTTTACCTCAAAGTTAGGGTCACATTTAAGTCCTACTTGGCGTATTCAAAGAGAGGCTAATGGACATGTATTGGGAGTTTCAAGTTTCAGACAGTTTGTCCAAAGTAATTTTCATGGGCCTTCCCAATCACGAAATACTGTTGAAAAACAACACTAAGGTCTTAGCTCTGCAATTCTGAGGCTGAGAAATGAAATGCAAACACTGGTTTAAATCCTCATACCAATTTTAGCAGTAGTTCAAAATAACTGTCTAATTATTTGACACATTACATGTGTTTTAGGTGTAGCCTTTGTCCACAAATTTTTTCTATTCACTCTTTAGAGGAATATAACACTTATTTTTCCAAGTCAAGTCAGGACACCTCAGACTTGTTCAGGGGACAGAGATTCATAACATTTGCTCTTATTTGCAGAACACTATATTCTCTGTAGTAATTTAAAAATATAAATCAATACATTTTTTATTTCACCTGTACACTTTAATCTCCTTATATTATTTGTATAACATATGAAATCACAACCACCAGCCCACATGTCTTAAAATAACACCTAACAAATAGTTGAACCAAGAGCAAATGGTTAATTTTGAGGTTTCCTATTGACACAAATTTGCAATTTTATTTTCTTCTGTCATATATGTGCAATCTCTAGCAGAAAAGTGGTCTGGAGCCAAAGCCTTGTAAAACATTATTGGAGAACAATTTGAATTGAGAAATTATATTCATTAGATTTTATTCCCTCTGCAAACAGGATAAAGGCAGTCATTATTCAACATAACAGCCAAGTATTGATTCTCTAGCTTATGAAACGCTAGCGCCCCCAGGAACTCTAGTGAAAATATGTAAAATTTTTAACCTATGAGAGAAGCACTGGATTAAAGGAGTAAGAAAGAGCAGTATCAGTTGTAATGTCTTCTTTTCCATCTTTGACTTTATTTATTTGGTTCTTCTCTTTTATTTTTACTCTGGCTAAAGGTCTGTCAATTTTATTTAACTTTTCAAAACACCAACTTTTTGTTTTATTGATCTTTTGTATTGTTTTCATTTCAATTTCATTTATTTCTGCTCTGATCTTTATTATTTCTTTTTTCTAATTTTGGGTTTGGTTTGTTCTTACTTTTCTAGTTCTTTAAGATGCATCATTGGACCAGTTATTTGAAAATTTTCTTCTTTTTTGATGTAGGCACTCATAGCTATAAAATTCTCTTGTAGTACTGCTTTTGCTATATTCCACAGGTT